ATACAGTGCAGTGTATATCAGATTTGAAAATATGAAATTTACTTTTGACTGTAAAAATAACTCAATTCCAGTACCTCATTTGTCTTTTAATTGTATTATTTGCGAATTCCAATCCTTCCTATTCATTTCATTTACGAAAATTGATCGGTTTACGAAGACTTTCTACACCTACTGTATATGTACATAAAACCTGTATATATGTGTGTATATATATAGATTTTTCAGCTGAAGATAACAATATTTAATTTCAAATGAACATGTTTTCATTTCAAAATAACAATTAAAAAAAACAAAAATAAAATAATGAATAATAATTTAAAAAACTAATTAACATAATGTGCTATGTTAATTTGTAAAATTTATGTGCAATCATATTTCAAACTGTATTTATGGAATTAAATTCGGAAAATAATAATTTAATCAAAAACCAATTGATTGTTATCGATTCGATAATATTAAATTTGTATATCAGGTTGTTGATAACGATGGGTGATTTTATTATTGATTTAAAAATAAAAATTTGTTAAAAAGTGAATTTAAGGTTAGAAAGCGATATTACTTTCCGGTACACCTAATAATATACGGAAACTTGGTTATGTTTGTAAATCATAAATAAATATCCCTTTAAATTATGATCAAATTTCTGAAAATAAAAATATTCTTATTATTAATTTTTGATTTGATAATAAGGAAAGAAATTTGTGAAATATTAACCTCAGAGATTTAATATAAGATTTTATAGAGAGAAAATAACGAAAAAGACCAATGTCTTCTCGCTTCTGTGCTCGAAAAATCAACGAGTGTGACCGGTTTACTGTTATTTCGCATCGGTCTCTGCGTTAATGCCGTTGTTTCTATTTATTTTGTAATTACTTTTCACTATTCTTTATGATTCATATTAAAACAAGTTGAATATTCAATGTTTCAAAATTAAAACGTTAAAACAAAAATATATATATTTAAATTTGTCTTTAAAGAATTTGTTGAAAAAAATTTATACAGAAAAAGTTGAATATTCAATGTTTCAAAATTAAAACGTTAAAACAAACAAATATATTTAAATTTGTCTGTGAAGAATTTATAGAAAAATTACCAAAAAAAAAAAATAAATAAAACATTTTTCACACTAGATATACCACCATTTTTAATATATCTACTACTACCACACTAGTCAAAATGATTGTTGTATAAAAAAAAATGCTTGTTGAGGTTACCAGTCTTTATTTATTCTTAAAAAATAACAAAAAATATTTACAATAATAATTTTAATAGATAAATGAATTTATAGACATTTTTAAATTATTTACAGAAATCAAATGTTACATGTAGTAGAAATTTTGAATTAAAATGGCCCCAATCAGTCAAAATGACTGCTCTGGTATTATTCTAGTGTTAATTATCATAAAGATTGTTTTATACTAATTTTTGTGTGTTTTTCGTTTTTTCAGCATCGAATACAATTCGACGATATGGCAACACGCACTTTTGAATATCCAAGCGAGGCTTCCATGTTGGAAGGTGAGAGCAACATTATAGATAACGAAAGCTCTACTTCCGGTGAGCAATCTACGCAGATCGCCAATAAAACGTCAACGGCCAGTTCAACGACGAGCATCCCGTCGCTTCTTGGTAATTTTTATAGTTAACAACAATGACTTACCTAACCTCTATTTCTCCGGCTTGCTTTATATTAAAATTAACAAGAAAATTTCATTTTCGTTTTTTTTTATTCATCTCGAACGATGATTCATTTACTTTCTTTTTTTTTTTTTTTTTTAATATTACTATTATTTCTTTTTTGTTATGTTGCTATGTGACGTTTAGTTTAATTTATAAAAGAAACAATATATATACTTTTAGGTTATAATATTACATTTTGAAGAATTATTCAAATAAAAATTTGAATTAACTTTTTTTTTGTAATATTATTATTACTTCTTTTTTTATATATTACTATAACGTTTAGTTAAATTTATAAAACAAACAATATACACTTTTAGGTTATACTACTATATTTTGAAGAAAAATTAAGTTAGGAATTTCAATGAAATTTTTTTTGTAATATTACTATTATTTCTTTTTTATATTTGACTATAAAACGTTTACTTAAATTCATAAAAAAAAGACAATATATATATACTTTTAGGTTAAAATATTACATTTTGAAGAATTTTATTTAATTAAAAATTTAAATTAAATTTTATTTATAATATTACTTTTATTTCTGTTTTATATTTTACTATATAACATTTAATTAAATTCATAAAATAAACAATATATACTTTTAGGTTATACTATTATTATATTTTGAAGAAAAATTATACTAAAAATATTAAATTAAATTTCTTTTATAATATTAATATTATTTATTACTATAAGGTTTAGTTAAATTCATAAAAAGAAAACAATATATAATTTTAGGTTATACTATTATATTTTGATGAAAAATTAGATTAAAAATTTAAATTAAATGTTATTTATAACATTACTATTATTTATATTACTATGAGGTTTGGTTAAATTCATAAAAAAAAAAAAAACAATAGTTTATTAAATAAACTTTCAGGTTATACTATTATATTTTGAAGAAAAATTAGATTAAAAATTTAAATTAAGTGTTATTTATAACATTACTATTATTTATATTACTATGAGGTTTGGTTAAATTCATAAAAAAAAAAAAAACAATAGTTTATTAAATAAACTTTTAGGTTATACTATTATATTTTGAAGAAAAATTAGATTAAAAATTTAAATTAAATGTTATTTATAACATTACTATTATTTATATTACTATGAGGTTTGGTTAAATTCATAAAAAAAAAAAACAAACAATAGTTTATTAAATAAACTTTTAGGTTATACTATTATATTTTGAATAAAAAATTAAATTTAAAATTAATTTTTTTTTTTTTGCATTATCTATATAAATGTAACATAAAAATGATTATTTCATTGACATCTCACTTACGTTTTATTTTCATTTCTCATATATGTTTACATATTTTTTAGGAGGCGGTGGTTTAGCGAGTTATACACCAAGCAAAGTGGATTTGGCATCTGAGGGTTTCGAGTTAGGTATCACCAGAGCTACATTAACAACGGGTACAAATTTGACTACTAACAATGCCAATGGTAATGATCAACAACAACAACAAGGACAAAACACAAGCAGTGAGGTTGACTACTTGAAACCTGCTCAAGATGGCAATGCGTGGGGTTCAGAAACGACCGGTGATCTTCTCTATTGAATATTCTCCATGAACCAATGAAGAAAAAGAAAGTAACATAGAAGAAAGAATAAAGAAGTAATTAAATCATTTTTGAAAAAAAAAAAAATCCAAAACAAAAACAGCAAAAAAAAAAGAAAAAGAAAAGGGAAATTATGTTGAAATATTTTCTACCTTTCTAAGTTTTATACATAAATTATAAAAGATTTCAAGAATTTCAAGATAATAATGAGAAAAGAACAAGAAAAATAAAAAAACGATTAAGGTGTTTCAAAGAGACATAAAACCTTGTTAATAATTGTGGTTGTGAAAATTCAATTGAACAATTGTATTGTAATGAATTTTGTAAATGAATTTTGTTCTTTCCCTCACCCACCCCCAATGGGGGTTTAATAACTACGTTTAGAAGACGTTTAGTCAACCCTTTCGCTATGGCGGTCCCCTCGCTGCAGAGTGCCTTGCATGGAACGTGCAAACACCATGCCGAAAGTGCGAACATTAAACACGTCTTTAACATTGGGAATGAAGCTTCATTTTGGTCTCAAAAATGACTTTGTAAAATTACTTTTACAAAAGTAAAAAGTCAAAAAGTAGCGCTTGAAATTGTTTGTGAACAAAAACCTTGCATGGAACGTGCAAACACCGTGCCGAAAGTGTGAACATTAAACACGTCTTTAACATTAGGAATGAAGCTTCATTTTGGTCTCAAAAATGACTTTGTAAAATTACTTTTACAAAAGTAAAAAGTAAAAAATAGCAACAATGCGCTAGCAATTGTTTGTGAAGAGGAAAAAAAAATCGAGTCGATAGCCATCCGACTTGATTTTTGGCTCAATTTCTGTAAAAGATGCGACGGGTGACGGTGTGATAGTCACTCGTCGTTTTCATGCGGCATTTTGTGGCAGGTGACTATAATAGTCATCCGTAGTAGCGAAAGGATTAAAATTCATAAAAGATAAAACAATATCATTCCAAGTTATGAAATGCATTTATATCTTATTCTTATGATATATATATATATACGGATAACTTTCCTAAAGAAAAAAAAAAATAATAATAATAAACGAATCATCGATAACTGCCAAGATATGTTAGTACTTGTTCTAAATATGGGCGCCTTAAAAAAAATGACCAGCTAATGAACAAAACAACAATGCCTGTTCATCGATACAACATTTACAGTCGTGTCAGATATATGCAAAGAGATAATAAAAAGCATATCACTTTTTGGGCGTATTTTATAGGTATATATATATATAGTATATAAATAATAATAATAATAATAATAATAATAATGCATAGGTAAAGTTGTTAGGAAAGAAATGAAAATTTTGTAACCTTTTTGAGATTATTATTTTACCGGTGATGAGCTGCGACGAGTATTTAAGCTGCCAATTGAAAAATCAGAATTTTATGCAAACCCATTAGTAATACAAAATATTGACAAATATTAAATACATGTGTATTAGATAAACATTATACGTTAAATTACACATGTATTCAATTATTTTACAATATTTTGTGCTATTAGGGATGGGTTTTTTTTTTTTTTTTTTAGATAATACAAAGAAAAATTCAAACAAACAAAATTCTAATAATAATTGAATGTCATAGAAGGTGTTGTACGATTAGAAAGTTGAACAAGGGTGAAGAATTATATTTAATAAAAATGAAACACCAAGAAATATATATATATATATATATATATATATATACTGAGGTTTAGATTTGTAAAAGTTTTTTGCCAAAGTAGAACGTAAGTCTACTTAGAGTAATATACTTATCATATATGTACAATAATAAGTCATTATCAATTTACTGAATTTATAAGAATTGTAAGTCGAGATAAAGGAGGGTTGAGAAAGAAAGCAAGAAAGAAAGAAAGAAAGAAAAGAAAAATTCATAATTTCACATCATTTTAAAAAGAAGCGTATTGAGAAAACGCGCCTCGTACGTAATTAAAAACTTTAATCGTATTACAATGAAAGTATGATGTAATAATTTCATTTTGAATATCTCAGTCAAACTCTCTTTTTGTTTAATCATATGCGGACGAGGACCAAAAATAATCGGAATAATAATAAGAGATTTTCAAAAAATTGTTGTATTGGGCTCATCATTATAAACGTTAAGATTAATTAATGAATTAATATTAAGTGAAAAAGAAATGATATGTATATACTAAATTATTATTATTATTATTGGTCTTTTATGAGCATATAATTTAGGTTCGTGATATATTATCAACTCTCTTGAACTTTAGGGAGAATAAAAATGAATAAGCTAGATAATTATTATTAAGGACCGATATATATATATATATATTCTATGTATTATTATTTCATCTAATTGTTTTAATTTATGTTCAAAATATTAATGTATCCCAACATGTATTTGCTGAACGTTCATGTTTTTTCGAATCGTGTAAGTATTTAAATATGTATTACTTGGTATTATAAATAATTTTTACTTCATTGCGTTATCGCGGACTGATTCACAAGCAAATAAATACAATTATAAAGGATAATAATTTATTAAAAAAAAAAAAAAAATAATAAAAAAAAAAAAGAAAGGTGCATTTATAATAATATCGTATTTGTACTGAATCGTTCTCGCGTCTGAAATAGCTATTAAATATAATTTAGATACCATAATGATGGATTCTTCAAACTATTTTGTGATGTAATACTTTTATTTAATTGCCTATATATATATATATATATATACAAAAGATCCATAATAAATGGATCATTGTCACAGCGTTGTGCTTACACTGTGATACTCTTGTTACTCTTCTAGTATTCGATGAATAATTTTCAAAGAAATACTTGAAAAACAAGAGAATGTCGAAGACTAAGCGTTATGTCTGCTGCATGCTATTGATAAAAACTGCGCCAAGAGTTAGGAAGAAGATTGTTGTAAGCGTAGTATAGCATTCCAAATTTAATGACAACATATTGATTAATATCATCTGTTTTTTTTTTTTTTTTTTTTTTTTTTTGTAAAGTAGTTTTTAATAATCTCTCCTTATTACAATTAGGAGAACATCGTAATATTTCTGTAAATTATATTTGTACAATATGAGCAAGTATGATCATCAGAGTCCATATTGTTAGACGAGTAGCGCATTTATGAATCATCCCTAACATTTGACGCTTCAATTTCCACATTACTGCATTATCAAATATACTTATTATTAATTAGAAATATCGTGTGATGTATATCGTATGTGTGTCAAAATATTGAAATAATAAAATGATATAAGTATGTCTTCTTCACATTCTATCTGTGTATGTATATATACATTATACATATATATTATCATAATTATTATATGATATATATAGTCATCTTATAAAAAAAAAAAACTATCTCATTTATTAAACTAAATATCAAAAATTTGTAATATCGTGAACGAAAAAAAAAAAAAAAAATTGCCTAAAATTGAACAGTTGTTATTTATATATAGAAGTATAATATTCTTCTTCTAAATCATACAAATCTGCTGCCATGTCATCTCTCAAAGATGCCAATTTTTGATCACATTCAGCTTGTTTTGTTCTAAATAATTTACTATTATGAGCTATAGCATCATTAACAGATGGAAAATCATTGAGAATTAGATATTGTTTTATATCTGAAACCAATTTCATCAGAGATTCACCAGCTCTTACAATGTTAGCTGCTCTCACATGCATTTCAAATGTGTCCTGTTCGCACTGTGCCATTCGTGACAGTTGAGAATCATTTTCACCTTTTGCAAGCTTGACAATTTCTGAAAATAAAATAATAATATTTAAATTAAATTAAAATTCTTTATAAAAGTTAAATATATAATTACAAGATAAATAGAATCTACACAAACAAAATGTTCAAAACTGATAAAGAAGAACAAGTAACAAAAATTAGTTGACAAATTGAGGTTAGGAAGTAAATAAAAACTCCTCATAAAAGTTAGATATAATTACAAGATAAATAGAATTTACACAAACAAAATGTTCAAAATTGATAAAGAACAACAAGTAACAAAAATTAGTTGACAAATTGAGGTTAGGAAGTAAATAAAAACTCCT